AACAGAGACAGATACATTGATTAATATGGGTTGATTGACAAAGATTACAACCCAAGCTAGCTATTAGTTCAATCAACTAGTTATGATAGAACAATTCAAAGCACCTATTCAGAATTGATGGGACTCTATCCACCAAATAACTTCTATAAAAAGCTATCAGAAGGTGAACACAAGAGCTTGACCTCAAACAAGGGAATGCCAAAAATTTAGATAAGGAAACATACCAAAGAGATATTAAATAATGTTAATGCATTGATCGACGGATATACTTTGATACCAGTTTTCGCTTACCACACACCCTCTATCAAAGATGATCTAATGGAGATCGGCTGTCCCTATGCCAGAGATTGCTGGAAATTCTACACTAACGATCCAGGTTCCTATACTTTAGAAGGCTCATATGTCTTGCCATAAATGAGAGATAAGATTGGAGCTGCATTTAATCTCTCTCCTGATGATACAAAGAATCTAAATTATGTTAAGTTCTATTACTATGGTGACATATTAATGGCCGAGAACTTTGAAGGTGATCCAAAGAGAGCTTAGTTCTCAAACGAGGAGTGGTATTACATAAGATTAGCCTAGAAAAATGTTTTGTCTAAGGGATTTGATGCAAAGGCTAAAACTTTGTATGAGACCAAATTCTTTAGAAAACCTTTGGCTGCTATTGATACCAGAGTTAATGAGATTATGAGTGCATCAACAAATACTAACACTTTGAGGTACATAATGTATTCTGCTCACGATACTCAGATTATCAACGCTCTCGATTGGCTTCAGCCAGTTGGTCGTGAATACATTGACGCAACCTATGTATCAACGATGTACTTCGAAGTGTTTTACGATACTGATTGTCTTGCTGCAACTCCAAAGTCACAATCTTGCTTTAATGTGCATATCACACATAATGGCATTCCAATTAAGCTACAAACTTGTCTTGATGCTAATGTATAGAGAAACTCAGGATCAATTATCTGCTAATATGATGACTTCTTGGCTCACATTGATAAGATCAAACTTAAGGACGATGTGGAGGCAAGATGCATGGATAAGTTTACCCCACCTTCAGGCTCTAAAATCTGATAGAAATATTAGAAAATCAATTTAAAATCATCAATTTAATTTCCTTAAAATACCTACCCCTCTTTGGATTAGCTAAAGTTTATTTTTCATAACTTCACTGAATAATATTTGCCAAATCATTTAATGGGGTTTTGGGGTTTTGGGG